TTTTCACTGAATCCGCTACATGGATAAGCAGATTTGGATTATAAACTAACTAAATGTTTGGATAAGTTAGCCAGCTCATCATGGGGTACGTTGACTATGTCACATGACTTTGATTGACAGTCTTGCATTTAGTAACACGTTGGTTGATCCGTGGTCATTTCTGTCATTACTTGATCGAAATCTCAACGTACACGCTATTTGTGACCACAATCGTAACGTCACACCAAGGCTAGTATATTCATAGTCACACCTATCCATTTTTGGTACGACATAGTGGCCGAAAGTACACTCAAAAACGCAATTTACTGAAAAATTACCGGAGCTGTGTACAGCAGCAGGACGCGTAACGAACTAATCCCTATTGTTTAGGGTTCCATTTATAGTCTACATGTGGGTTTAATCATTTTCCCAAGATGCTCGTGCAAAAGTAAAACATTTTATAGTAACATGTAATTTACTGTTAACATTTTATTGTATCGAATCAATAATTGAATGCAGTAGCTGACTGCTGTTTTCAAAACTTGTCTTAATTTTTGGTATTATTCAATTTAACTTAACCACAATAGTAAAAACCAATGCTTCATTAATCATGTGTGTGTACATAGTTATATCTAATATATGTTTAATTATAGGTGTATGTTGGTTTCCAAGTACAGTTAGATTTGACTGGTATATTCATGCACGGTAAAATCCCAACATTGAAGATATCTTTAATCCAGATATTCAGAGCTCATTTATGGCAGAAGATCCATGAAAGTGTTGTCATGGATTTGTGTCAGGTAAAAAAATATCTTGCTCTAACCACTTCACGTATTCACGTGTTATAGCTTTTCCAGGATGTAAACCGCTAAATTTGTGCTACTAGAAATTTGTTAATTTTAATGCATCTCTAAAGACAATATTTTGTAAATGTCATAAAAGTTTTTACTGTTTTGCAAAAAACTTTTATGAAAGTAAAATGGTTTATGTAATCTACTTTTAAAGGAATGTCATTCCTGACAATTCATTGTATTTGTTGTGATGATACTTTTGGACTAGAGTCTCTGACTGTACTGTGTGTGTACTGAAGATATTATACACCAATTCTGAACAAATACAATGAATATGTACAAGATCTTACCGACAACATAGACTTCTATAGACACTGGCTACAAACACCACATGTAACATGAACCGACTTACCAATGCACTCTATTTCAGTCAAAACTATTAAAAAAATGTATTTTGTGGGACTACTGTAAAATTTTGAAGGGCGGCTATACAATCACTCTGGGTATGATTGCCCCTGTGTATTTCAAGCTCAGGCAGATGTTAGAGGAAATGTATTACAAAAATTATATTTCTGTACTCGCCAACTTATCTAGTACAAATTTACAAACTAGAAAACCTTGGTTGAAATGCATGCATGCATGCATGCATGTAGTAATAACAAACATTGTCATTCCCTGTTGGTGATGGTGCTTTAGCTGGCAATGTATTAACACCTACTCTGTGTTTATTGCAGGTTTTTGATCAAGAGTTAGATGCACTGGAAATTGATACTGTGCAGAAAGAGACAATTCATCCCAGAAAGTCGTACAAAATGAATAGTTCTTGTGCTGATATATTATTATTTGCAAATCATAGATGGCTTGTATCAAGACCATCATTACTGGCTGACTCAAAGTAAGTCAATATCTACTCTGTTAATTCTTCAGTGTATTTGTTGTGATGATACCTTTTGGACTAGAGTCTCTGAATATTTTCAGTGTAAGATAACATACACCAAATCTGAACAAATACAATGAAGACTGACCTCCCCAGCTGTCAAGCTTACTCGACTTGATTTAAGGGATTTCATTTTAACCCAAGATCCCTACAAATTCATTTCTGTTCAAGATCATGTGGTTTCCCAATATTATTTGTCATACCACTGACTTCTTCCATTTTGTTTTGCCAGAGACACCATGGATAACACAACAACCCAGAAATACTGGATTGATGTGCAACTAAGATGGGGAGACTATGACTCGCATGATATTGAACGTTACGCTCGAGCTAAGTTTCTGGATTACACTACGGATAACATGAGTATTTATCCATCCCCCACTGGTGTATTGATTGCATTAGATTTGGCTTACAACCTGCATAGGTAAGATATCCATAACAATATTTGAATCATTGTTATTCAAATACTATAACTAGAACTAATACTAGAACACCTCGTCGCTATGGCTCATATTCTCATGTTTTTGCTACAAATTTTTATTCCAAACATAAAAAACAGCAAATCAGAATTACTTGAATAATTGTATGCATTTACCTTGGATGGAATACAATCAATATTTTTTCTTTTAATAATTATTTTTTGTAGTGTTCATCTGTCAACTGGCTTCTTCATTTTGTATTGCTTTACTTTTAATTTTGTTACATAGTGCATTTGGTAACTGGTTCCCTGGTGGCAAGCCGTTGATCCAGTCAGCCATGGCAAAGATCATGAAAGCTAACCCAGCACTGTATGTGTTACGTGAACGTATCCGTAAAGGTCTACAACTGTATTCTTCAGAACCTACTGAGCCATACTTGTCATCACAAAACTATGGTGAACTCTTCTCTAATCAAATTATCTGGTTTGTGGATGATACTAATGTCTACAGAGTAACTATCCATAAGGTATGTTGTGACTCTTCACTGGCCAATAACATTTAAATGTTAAACGGTAAAATCAGCAATAAATTTAACCCTGCCATTTATAACTTCATCCACAGAAACTACTCTTTCTATTCATGTGTGCTTAATACTATAAATTGTAGCATGTATTTTTTATAAATTTTGGATACCATGTTTTCATTGCAACACCGGCTAAAATACTGCATTACTACCTGTCTTGTAAGACAATCACATATTTACTAAAATCCTTTTTTTGCAGACGTTTGAAGGTAATTTAACAACCAAGCCAATCAATGGAGCTATCTTTATTTTCAATCCACGTACTGGTCAGCTTTTCTTGAAGATTATTCACACATCTGTATGGGCTGGACAGAAACGTCTCGGACAGGTAATAATTTCATTGATATAGGTCTTCTCCCTGTGATGCCAAAACAAATGATGCATGCTTCGGATAACTGCCACCTGTTTTTGAAGTGCATGTTGCCACAACCAAACAGTTTTTTTTTTGTCTGATTTAATAACAGTGAACAGCAATGTTAATTTCATCTTCTGGTGGGAATGACAGATACTTGATACGTCCCAAAACATTTGTATTATAATGAACTTAACATTCTGTATAATGTTGATTTGATTTGAATTCAATTTGTTTCCCTCTGTTAGCTTGCCAAGTGGAAGACTGCTGAGGAGGTTGCTGCATTGATCCGATCTCTACCAGTTGAAGAACAACCTAAACAGATTATTGTAACAAGAAAGGGCATGCTTGATCCATTGGAGGTAAGAATTCAGACATGTGGCCATGAATTTAAAACACTGTCAAGCAGTTCAGGCAAGTATGGTGAATGAAGTGTGATGCTTAAATCAGACATAGACGTTACTGTCCCACCAGATTGGTACAACAATAAAGAGCTTTTTGATTTAATCAGACATAGTCGTTACTGTCCCACCAGATTGGTACAACAATAAAGAGCTTTTTGATTTAATCAGACATAGACGTTACTGTCCCACCAGATTGGTACAACAATAAAGAGCTTTTTGGTTTAAAACTACAGCTGTTACATGCAATTTGTGGGTTACTTTGTGACATTTCTTTCTTTTCTAATTACTTTTTTCACTTCCTTTAGGTACATTTATTGGATTTTCCCAACATTGTCATCAAAGGTAGTGAATTACAGTTGCCGTTCCAAGCATGTCTCAAAGTAGAGAAGTTGGGAGATTTAATATTGAAAGCAACTGAGCCTCAGATGGTGTTATTCAACTTATACGATGACTGGTTGAAGAGTATATCATCCTATACCGTATGTTGTATTAATTTTATCAATCATATTCAGTTCTTGTGAATAAAACATTATACATGCCATGATGTAAAGCTAGGTGATTAGGTGCCATACGTAGGCGTTGGTTAAAGTCATACAATACCTGTTTATTTTGACTTAACATGGTATTTACCATGCTGTTTATTTACTTTCCATATCAGTAGCTACTATGAGTTTAGAATTATTTCTCAGTACTTATTCAATTGATACTTTTGTGTGTATTGCTTTCAATAATGTGAAACTGCTTTGCTTCCTTGCTATATGTAATTTTAACAGAATTTCACTTATTCCACAGGCCTTTTCCAGATTGATCTTAATCTTGCGAGCCCTTCATGTGAACACTGACCGTACTAAAGTGATTCTCAAACCGGACAAGACCACCATCACTGAACCACATCATATCTGGCCATCTCTGACAGATGACGAGTGGATCAAAGTTGAACTGTCACTCAAAGATCTCATCTTAGCAGATTACGGAAAAAGAAACAAGTATGCTGCTATTTTACATTTATTCATTCATTTGACTTAACTAAGGGCGTACATGAAGAGTTTATTTGTTCCAGGTTTTAAACGGAGGTAATTGTAGATTTTCTTTCAAATATTAACCCTATCTTGTTTATGTTTTTGTATCTAGTGTGAATGTCGCTTCTTTAACACAGTCTGAAATCCGTGATATAATTTTGGGAATGGAGATCTCGGCACCATCGCAACAAAGGCAGCAGATTGCAGAGATTGAAAAACAAACTAAGGAACAGTCGCAGTTAACAGCAACGACAACGAGAACAGTTAACAAACATGGTGAGTCGCTGTGTTTCACATATCTTACCTTGATTATCCCAAGTTATGTTGGTGACAAATGCATGGTTCCATGAAAGGCTGATATGGTATTCAGCTGCATTTTTCATCATTTTTGAGATTTTTCTGATGTTAATTAAATTAATTCGTATACTGTTTTCAGTTGCAAGATTTTTAGATGTACTGTGCATTTATCAGTGTTTTCCCATTTCATAATTTAGCAAAAAAAAATGTAGAAAATAACCCTATCTGGCCCTGGATCTGCGACATTGTCTGTCATGGTGGGCAATATTTATGTTCATTTGTCGACTGCCTACTCAACACAGCCCTGGAATATGCTATAGTAAAATGAGGTGGATGTGCAGCAAATTGATGTGTACTGTTTTGAATCAAACAGATGAACCAATCAAAAACTAATAACTGCTAGAACTTTGATTTATCTGTGACTATCTCAATTACACTTCGAATGTGATGCATTTTGATTAAAATATTGTATAAGGGGGATCAAGTTATTGCTGGTGTATGCATACACATTCAGTGTATTGTTTTGTGCATCTACCTCATTTTGTTATGGCAGGATTCACTGGTGTTGAGTGGGCAGATGACAACCAAATATAAATTACACCCACTGTAACAATGTCATAGATCAAGGTCTAGGCCCAGCCCCAGCCCAGCCTCCTTTAATCCTCCACCTTATTTATATTGTGCCTGTAAAATTATGAATTGAATTTAACAACAAATCTGGTCTTAATAATAATACTTATAATGCATCTTTGCAGGTGATGAGATTATTACATCCACAACCAGTAATTATGAAACAGCTACATTCTCATCTAAAACTGAATGGAGGGTCAGGGCTATATCTGCTACAAATCTACATCTCCGAACCAATCATATTTATGTCTCATCTGATGACATCAAAGAAACTGGCTACACATACATCCTACCCAAGAATATCCTAAAGAAGTTTATTATAATTTCAGATCTGCGTGCACAGGCAAGTATATCATTGTATTCCATTGTGTGCAAGAATGTCTCTATATTATTGCAGAGTCCTTTCTCTATTCTATTTGTCACATCTAAGTACTGTAAAATCTGTATTAGAAGCCGCAGCTTCTATTAAAATTGTAGAATGCAAGAAGGGGATGCGGCTTCTAATAGAGCATCTACACATATGAGAAATGGTGAAATTTTGATTCTTAATTATTCAAAAATAATGGGTGCGACTTCTATTAGGGATGCGGCTTCTAATACAGATTTTACAGTATTATGCTAAATGGCAACATAGCCTTGTGAAATGTTTTAGCAGATGTATATAACATACCGTAGACACCATTGTTCAGCTGTGCTAATGTACGTATTTCAAGTTTGCACTTCAAAATTTTGAATCAAAAAAATAATTGTATTTGACACCATTTATAACGGGCCGAAAAACAAAGTAACTTTTCTTGAATTATTTTCACTGAAAGTGCCCGTCTTTTTACAGATTGCTGGTTACCTATATGGTGTTAGCCCACCAGATAATCCCCAGGTGAAGGAGATCCGCTGTATTGTGATGGTCCCACAGTGGGGCACACATCAAACTGTACATCTACCAAACCAACTACCACAACATGAATATCTCAAGGTATCTTTGTTTGCTCCATTTTACCAAGCTCATTTGTACCATTCAATGAATTGATGAGATTGGTTGTGGGTGTGAGTGGGGTTTCTTAAGAAGATAAAATGGAAAGGTTCCTAAAGAACTGCAACTTTATACTGTGGATAGTCGAGTCTGTTGTGACAATATATATATGGCATTTTGCTAGTTCAGTTAAACCAGTCTGAACTTAATTAAACTTTTTTCTATTCCATAGCAATATTTATTTACAATCTCTCTTTTAATCCAACAGTTACCATTTATGCTCTATTAAAAGCACATTCCCAATAAAAGAAAAAACATATAAACAGAAAAATGCATTAGCTTTATACTAAATCATTGAAATAATATTTATTTCGGACCACAGAATAATCTTTAATTCATGTAAGCCCATAGAGCAAATACAGCATGTCAGTTTGGTTGAGAACACTGTACATAAGATAACATAGCAATATAAAAATAGCTGCATTGGTATGAAAGCATGTACGAGTCTAGGAAATGCATATTTTTAGATCAATCCTTACATGTATATATTTTTGCTGCAGGAGATGGAACCGTTAGGATGGGTACATACACAACCCAATGAAACACCACAATTATCACCACAAGATATCACAACACATGCTAAGATAATGGCAGATAATCCATCTTGGGACGGTGAAAAGACTGTGGTTATTACATGCAGGT